AACTAGGCAACGTTTCCTGCACGTGACTACACGCTGTACCTCGACGTAATAGTTGTCGCCGATGTCTTTGTAGGCGGAAGCGATGCTCGCCTGGACCGCTTGGATCCAGGCCTGCCGCAGCTTCTCAGACTCGGCTTGCAGCATGCAGCTCCTGCAGGAACCAAAAGGCAGCACGTCTCATCCGTCAGTCCGTTTTAATCATATTTATCCAAAATGTCACGGCACATGAAAGAATGAGAGTCGGACACAGATTCACAGTATTTAAACAAAACGTTCAAACAAAAACATAAAAATGTATCACAAGATCCAACTGCTTCTAAAAGAACTGAAATATGTCTTTTACTACTGTCACATAATGCTACACCAGCGATTAGACTGAATTTATTTATTTATAGTAAAGTACAGTCGAGGTCACACGTTGTATGTTCCAGTAACTTTTTTGCAAACGTAGCAGTTTTATCTGACTAGTTGGGACAGAATTCATACTAGTCAGTCAAAATGTCACCGAGCACAAAAATCCTAATTGTTTGCTCACTGGTGGGCCTCTGCACCAGCAGCCTGTTTAAGAACGGGACAGACATGCTTACTTTTTAGCTACTTAAAACCATTTTCAAGCATCCAAATTCAGGGAAATCTCCTTATTTGCTGAGTAACAGGAAAGGACGGGGATATTATTTTATTACGTACCACAGAAACCCACACACCGTCTCAGGAATGTTATTGAAACTAAATTCAACTACAAGAATGGTATGACGGAAAGCACGACACCGAAGTTTTAACAGGCATACCACAAACCTTGAACTACTATAACACTTTGAATACTAGCTAAAACAAGTGTTTTGTTGTTGTTGCAAGAAGACATTTTCAGAGTGAGTCCTTTATTTTGGCACTACAATCATGCCAATCTGATGCACTCACTTAGTGGGTGAAACCACCTCGAAGCAGAACCTCCTCTCATTGTCCTCACACGGTTTGACTGAGCACAACCTCAGATCCTCGACCACAACCGTCAAAGAGTCCTGTCAGCGGCGGAGAAGAGTCAGGGATTAACTACAAATTACGTAGAGCCGGTTACATTAATTATAATGGACAGTCAAAGCAAGTCGGTGCACAGATACTTTGCTACGTTCACGTGCGTGACAAAGAACGATTCAGTCTTTGCAAAGAAAAGAAAAAGTTGGAATTTTAGGGAAAGAAAATCTACGTAACTAAAAAAATAGGTCAAGTAAGAGATCCGATTTTACCTTGAGTTTCTTTTGGTAGACCAGCTGGCTGTTTTGGATGGAAAACCACCGCCTACAAGAACCAAAAGGTAAAAAAAAAAAAGTTAATGAGCTCAATTTGCCAGAGGTGCAGTCGCTTAAACGTCCGCGAGCTGGGACGGATCCTGTTAAAGGAAAAGCAACAGCTATGATAAAGTATGCGCATGAGAACAGTGTGGAATACAACAAACGCCACCAGAGTCTGGTAAATACAACGCCGCTGTACTTTTCTGTTGTCCTAACAGGGATTAGTTGTGAAGATTCAGTTAGAGGTAGATCAGGTTCTTCACCTGTTCCAGGTCTTGAAAGCGTTGCTGGCTCTCTTGAACAGGTAGCCCTCCATGACCACACCATTCGGAGCATCCACATTGAATTCCAGCTTTGGGTCATCGTAAGAAAAATCCTGCAGGGAGAACATACGAGGACATGGTCAGGATCGGGCTTCTCTGGCGGTCCTGACCAAATGACCACCATCGTTCTGCAAACATCAGAGCTGAACAACAAAGATGGTTCTGTCAGGTGGTCCAGCGGAGGTGTGTGTAAAGTCCACCTGAACATAAAGAAATATGGACGTGCCGCTGCTGTGTTGTGTTTGCTCCCTCACTCAAGCCTCACTATAGGATCAGGTTAAATATAGAGAATATGTCAGCACCTCTCCACCTGTCGGGTTAAAACTCGTCTATTTTCTTCTCCGTCTTGATTTTCAACAAGAAAGATGTTGTTTTTATTAAAGGCAGATGTTACTCGCTCAGCACAGAGAAAAACACAACCGGACACACTGTGTCAGAGCAGCAGAGGCTGCGGGTGCGTTTCACTTTTGTTAGATGAATCTCTGGTTTTGCGGTAAGGTGATACGAAGCACAAGGCAGGCGGGACTCCGGCACACACACACACACATGCATGTGCATGCACATTTGCACACAGATCTCTCATTGTGTGTTGAAAGCATTAGTGCTCTTCTGACTTTTTGTTCCAACAACCAGCACTTTTACACACCAACATCTGCAACTCTTGTTCCATTCATTGCTCAACAAAAGCTTTTAGGGGTTTAAGGTTTCAACAAAGGATTTTATTTAGTTCCTGAATAAAGATAAAAATGATGAGCGGCCATTGATTTCAGGCCGACTGAAGATAAAAACAACGTGGAGCCAAAAGCCTGCTGGACTGTGACGCATCAGTCGGCCTCTTCTCTGGCTGCTCACAGATTAAGAGACGAGACGTTTCTAAAATGTTCATCCAGGTTGAACACATTTGCATATAAATATCACAGAAGAGGCCACAAGATAAACTTATCTTCCACTGACTCGTGGAAATGGGTCATTAAAGTCTGAACCAACAGTGTTGTGGAGAAGTCTCGAGTCATACGTTTGATATTTTCTATCCGATCACCTAGATATTCGTGTAATCTGTTAAAGTGGCCCTAATCTCTAGACGCTCTTTCTCTTTGAACGCCGGCTGCATTTCTTCTAATTTTCAGATCAGTACCCGGTAAAAGGACCCCTCAATTGAAGCGTTGAAGCTGCGTTGATCAACTTAGCAAAGAAACACGTTCAGACTAGACTTTTAGAAACTTTGTCAGCAGTGCGTCGCCAAAAACACCACCTGGTTTATTTTCTTTCAATCTACATGAAAATTTAATAAAACAAACTAACAAAAAAGAACAAAAACAGTCTGACACATGAATGAAAATTTTAGCATCAACAAGTTGTTGAGGAGCATTAAGTGTAGGACCACTAGACTGAGGAACAGCTTCTACCCTGAAGCTGTTGGACTCATGAGTCTCTAACCAGAAAGAAGAGTTCGGTGTTGAAAAGTGTTCATGTTCGGGCTGCTGTTTTTACGCCACATCGTGTTACATTATTAGTGTTTAGTGTAAATCTTAGATCCTTATTTACTGTTCTTTTTATACATTATATTTTTGGGTGTAACTGGGACTGTGAGTACATCATTTTCTTCCACCTCGTGCACCACATGGGATGGAAACGACAATAAAGTTGACTGGAACTTGTGTTCCATCGAGCCATGTGCTGAAAACTTGTCACACAGTAGACGATCAACTGAAAAAAGTATGTGTCGAAGATCAAAGTCCATGCTCAATAATCCAGGTATAAAATCCAACATTTTTCAGTCTTGGACTTTGTTGTTTTCAACCAGTTTGACACGACTGTCAACAAGGAAGAGGGCCGGCAATGGAGGAGGGGCGTACCAAAGAGACCATCTTAGCACAAGCAGAACTGGTTTGTTCCACTTTGGAGTAAGCTGTTGGGGGAAGAATCAGTTTTGTTGTGTGTTTCCTTGACTGATGAAGCCTTCTGGATGGAAGGCAAACGTTTCAGCACAAAAAAAAAAGAAACTGTCCAGATGACCTGACTGAAAAATGTGTCTAAGGCTTTGATGAATTATTCGCTTTTTTTTTTTAAACATGAATTTCAGAAATAGTTCATCTGCTGTAGATAGTTTTTAAAGTCCCATATTTCTTTTGTCCTGCACGTGTCCACCATCTTAATTTATTTAATAACACACTGCACATTATTCTGTCATGGTCAGGTACAAGAACTGGACAGAAAATGAGTGAAAAGCAGCCAAAGTCCATAGAGGAATTATTGAAACACCTCCAGAAGACCTACTACAGAGATGACAAGAAGGTCTGGCTGCTTGGAAGCAAAGCATCACAAACAGGGCTGGTTGGAAATGGACTGTTGCATTTCCAGTCCAGTCTGTTGGAGTTCACCTGGACAGACTGGACTGGAGATGCAACAGTGAAGCGTCTACAAGAAGGGACAGAGCAGACTGTACTTCTTGAGGAAGCTGAAGTCCTTCAACATTTGCAGCAAGATGCTGCATATCTTCTATAAGTCTGTTGTAGAGAGTGTCATCTCTTCTGCCATCATCTGCTGGAGGAGCAGCACCAGAGCAAGTGACTTAAAAAAGATCAACAAGCTCATAAAGAAGGCTGGCTCAGTTCTGGGGACTCCTCTAGAACCTTTGGAGATGATTGT